TTAATTTGTTTAAAATTGTAGTTGGTGATCTTTTCTTTGCATTGGTCACATGTATTAATCAAACTACCTTATGGAAATTATGTATACTCTATGGGAAGAGAACAGAAGATAAAACAGAATTCTATAGGAGTTGATTGTTTTGCACTTTAGTAAAACATACATTACATAAAATTTACCCGTCTCAACCATGTTTATTTGTGAAACTGAGAGACACTAAATATATACACATTTTTGTGTCACCATCTCTACTATCCATGTCCAGAACATTAATTCAGACAGAAACTCTGTACCTACTAAGCAATAACTCCCTATTTCCCCACCTCCCTCCGCCTATAGCAATGTCTATTTTTCTTTCTCTCATTATGACTCTGAGTTGATTCTCAAAATATTCATTTCCCACATTCAAATAGACCAGATGCCTGATGATAGTAGAAAGCATGGAGGATCCATGGAATTCTTTGATTAACAGCTTAAAGCTTTTTAACATTTTCAACAAATTAAGCTATTGTCAGACTGTATATGTTCTGGAAAAATGGGTATACAACTTAGTTTCAGGAACCATAATGATGTAGCAAGAGTAAATTGATTTTACTTGACTACTCTTAGCTATAATAGGCAGTATAACACTCAAGATTTTCTATGCTCTTCCCCCTTATGCATAATTCCTCCCATGCTTATATTATCTGGCACAAATGAACTTAAAAATACAGGTGGGCCTGACCAAATCACATGATCTCCTTAGAGGAATAATTTTCTCAGGATTGTGGAAGCAGAGAAAGTCAGAGATTCAAAGCAGAAAAGACAGATTCTACATACTATTGCTGACTTGAAGATGGAGGTGTCCATGAGTCAAAGAATGCAGATGGCCTCTAGTTGTTGAGATTGGCTTCAATATGAGAGAAAATAAAGAAATAGGAACTTCAGTTATAAAACCACAGGGAAGTTTACATAGAAGAATATGATCAGAAACACACTTTCTCCTAGAGTGTCTAAACAAAGAAATTGGCCTGTCCAAAGCCTTTACCTTGACCTTAGAATACCCTAAGAGAGAACAACAGTTGTGCAAACCCAGACTTGTAGAACTACAAGCTAGGCAATGAGTATTAGGTAGTATTTTTATTTGTGGTGGTGTGTTGACAGAAATAGGAAAAGCATACAACAGCATAGACAGGAAAAAATCCAAAAACAAATGTGGCTAGAGGAGTAAAGGGTCATCATCTGGGCAGTACAGTTTGAAGCAACGTGGTTCCAATTAGTGCCATCACAGAATTGGCCTTTACTCACCTACATGAGTGATCTCGACTGTCCATCCAACAACCTCATTTTTTCTTAAATATTTGTGGTTCCAAACATTATTTCTTCAATCTGCCAGTCTATAGTCTTTCAATTGTCAGACCAGTCAGCTAGGTCGCTGGCAGAAGTTTAAAAATCAATAAAGAATATATCAGTTTGGCAATTGTAGTATTAGAGACATAAAATAATCTTTAGTTCTGACTAGTGACCAGAAAAACATAATTAGTTTTCCAAAGCTGCCAGTGAGATTGAACCACAGCTGAATCATAATAACTGACATCAGGTCTTTAACTTAGTCAAACTAGGAGTGAAGCATGCCAGAAATTTAGTGAAGCCTCTATGGATCATGGTTCCATAGAGCCAGTGACTTCACTTCTGGTGGTAGAATGGGACCTAGGCTTTGTTTTAGTCAACTTGTTTTTTGCTGCTGTGACCAATAAAACAATTTTAGAGGACGAAAAGTTTATTTGGTGCTCATGGTTTCAAAGGTCTCATTCCTAAACCGTAGCAAGGTTTCTTCCAAAGGGATAGTTGCTGCCCTATGAAGAAAATTGGGGTGCAGCTAGGGGTGCTTAGAGGTAGGGCACTTGCCTGGCATAAGCAAGACCAGGCCTCACATACTCCATCAATTTCCATTTGGCAAGTGAAGTTTTCTGGACTTTTTCCAACTTTTTATTTCTTTGGTCAGAGTTGACTGATCTCAAAATAGTAATTTCAAGGCTAGAGAGTCAAAAGCTCTTCATGGGTCATGTTCAGTTTCAGTGAAATACCAGTTGCAGCCAATAACTACTTTAACCTGGTAGCTGTGTCTGGGAAGCTAAATGTATGAAATTCTAAGGGGAGCTTACCAGGAACAGGTTTCCTACTTTTGCTAGAGCACGCAATCAGCAGCATAGATCAAAATTGATCAGTTTGGTTGGGGCACCAGATTTAAAGAGCAAGTTACAACTGGCAAGTCAGCTTTTAACACAACCCATTAAGTCGGGCACCAAAGGAAAAAGACTACTTTCTAGGCAGCCAATAAAGGATAAACTTAAATGCCCTATTGAGGCACATACAATCTTCAATATTCAAATAATTCTATATTATGTTAAACTTTCTTTTTTAGTAGTGGATGGTCAGTAATTGCAATAGGAGAATTGTAACCTATTTCCTAAAACACTGTACTTAATTAGCAGGGCCATGCATTTTGTTAGAGTTTATCAGCCTCTCCTCTTGGTGGAGATATGATTATATTAGAGTTAGAGCTAAGACTGAGGCTTCTGACATTACCAACTAGACCTCATGTGTTTGGTTTTTGCACCTTATGTTAAACCTCTCATAGCTGCACAATTTATTCCTGGGGTGCATTATAGATATGCAGTGCAGGAATTGCCAAGTAAACGTAGTTGAACTTGGTCTTCAAGTGCTAGTGGAATACCAAAAAGGCTTTGGAAATATACTGCACAGAACATATTTGTAATGAATTTCTGTGATGCACCTAGATGTAGTATACTATCTGGACCATCTTGAGTCTACCTGAGCCCAAACTAGATTCAGTTGATGATTTTCTACTATAAATTTCTGTCTCTTGTCAGCCATCACTGGCCATGGAGGGCTGTTATGTTGAGTAAGTAGTGCATCTCTTATTATTCCTGCTGCCTTTAATTTCTTAATAGGAACCATGGTTTTCCTTTCATCCTCCAAGATTTTGTACTGTTTTTGCTGGATCACATAGTAAGGAATGGTAATCATCTCTCCATATGCAACAGTCCCTAAATGAGACAATCTGCTTTGATAGTTTACAAACACTTTATATGCAAAAAAATAAGAATGCCAACTATACATTTTCACAGTGACAATTTATTGATTTGGCATAAAAAAAAATTAGATTCCTAAACCATGGGATGTGTGTGTGTGTGTGTGTGTGTGTGTGTGTATCTATAGATATACAAAGAAATTCATCTCTTCTCCACAGGTGAGTATGGGATAAGCTGAAGGCAGAGCAGGAGTGTTTCTAACCTGTGGGGAAAGATCAAGGAAGCTTTTTAAATCTTTTGACTTCTTGCCTCAGAGACAGCAGGCCTCCTCTGCAGAAGAGCTGATGGTTTCTGCCAGTGCTCACACCTACAGGCACATTTGCCCTCACCTTTTTCAATTCTTGCTTTTAGCCACTTCTGCATATAGCTCTCCATTAGTCACAGCTTATTGCATCTCAGCTGGGGAGTGGGGAGTGCTGTCCCCTTGTCATGATAACTTCTCTTCATCTTCCCATCCAGCAGAGTGAGCAAAATGGAAGCACCACCTGCTGGTTCTTTTGAATCCTAACCCACATTGTTGGCCTCTAAGCTTTCATTCACAATGGAGAGCCCTTATTTCAGTGGAGTCCTTTGGGATGAGAAACAAGTTGGTTTGGTGTCCTCTCTTCAGGTAAACGTCATGAGGAAAGTCATATCAGAACAGACACCTACTCAGACTTGAGACACAGAGCTACAGTTATCCGGAGCAATTTTTACTGCCTCTGGATGTATTTCAAAACCCACGGGTTTTGTTGATGGATTGGATGTGAAGTGTAAGAACAAGCAGGGAGTGAAAAATAACTCAAAGCTTTTAAAAATCTGCTCTCCTGTATGGATGGAGTTGATTTTTAAACGTTGGAAAAGATGATGAGAGAATTTCATTTGCAGGTAGTTGATCTAAGATTGATTTTCTTTGTGTTTGTTTTTTTCATTACTCTTGACTTTAAAAAAAATTTTCCCAAGCTTTATTTAGTTATAGCTAACTAAAATTACATATATTTACACAATATATCATAATGTTTTAGTTTAAGTAAGTCAGAATTGGGCTTTTAAAAATCTATATGATAAACTGAAAATGGTTTAAGGAAGTTGGGGGAAATATATGATAATAAAGTTAGCCATGGAAACCAAATGAGCAAAGGAGGAAGGGAAAATCTGAAGACAGTCAAATAAAGGATAAAGCAGGAACAGAAAACTTGGTTGGTAGATTCTGATAGAATTGAAGAATATAGGCCATAGCATACCAGAAGGAATCATTCAGAATATGAGACGTTAATCAGGGAGTGATCACAAAGGTGACTTCAGAATAGTTTCGGTAATGAACCTAACCAGAATAATTTTGTTCATTTGTATTCAATTTTTATTGCTGCATTACCAAAAGTCGAATGGTTTGTTTGTTTGTTTGTTTATTTATTTATTTATTTATCTATCTATCTATCTATCTATTTATTTATTTATTTATTTATTTTAATGGTTCAGGAGTCTGGGCTTTGCACAGAAGGGTGTTCCGTGTCTCACAGGTCTGCCATCAAGGTATGGGCTGGGCTCTGCCATCACCTGGAGTCTCAACACGGGAATAATCTACTTCTCAGTTTATTCAGGTCCTGGGCAGAATTTCTATTCTGAAATCACAAGATGAAAGACCTCCCCAGCCAGGCGCAGTGATGCTTCCCTGTAATTCCAGTGGCTGGGGAGGCTGAGACAGGAAGGATCTGAAATTCAAAGGCAGCTCAGCGAGAATCTGTCTAAACAAAATACAGCGAAGAGCTGAGAATGGGGCGCAGGGTTGGGCTCCCTGTGCTCAATCCCCGGGTGTACCAAACAAACAAACAAAAACACCTGGCTGTAAAACTGAAGGCTTTTGCATCCTAGAGACCGCCTGCTTCCGGTTGCGTCACGTGACCCGAGCCACTGACAGTTCAACTGTAAGCTTGCTCAGAGCCAGCAAGAAGCTGGAGACAACAGCCTTCAAAGACGGACCCCTTGAGAGTAAATGCAATCATGTGAGTGACCTGCCATCGCCTTTGCTGTATTCTACTGCTTAGGCCCACACTCAGAGAGGAAGATGGTACCTGGTGAATTTCTTTAGGTGTGTTTGATAAAAAGTAGGCTCAAGACTTATTTATTTTAAATTAATCAATGGTAGTTAAGTTGATGAGAGGATACCTTCAAACACGTAAGTTTGTGATTGTTTCTTTGAGCTCTATAAGTTGGGTTTTTTTTGTTGTTACAGAAATGTTGTATTTCATTTTTACTAACATAGTTGTTCGTCTTTCGACTTATCTTTCCACCTGGGATTATGTAGATAATCTATTGTCATATATAAAATTTAAAATAACGATGCTATCTTTTTATCATGAATCTATGACAAATCTAACATTATCTGTTATTCTTTTCATGTAGAATTTAAGAAACAACGGCCATAAACAAATTTAAATTCTTACACACAGAATTAGGAATAAAAAAGCACTGTGAACATGATGAAAATTTAAGAGTAAACACAAGATCATGAACAAATCCTTCTTGAGTCATTCTTTTTATGAAAACCATCCATAATGGGAATCTACTGAATTTTGCTTATGTTATGATAGATGTTCTTTCCAGTTTTCTAGAAAACTTGAGAATCCTGAATCTATGCATAATGGAAAAGTATTTAAAATAATATTCAAATATTGAGCTGAAAATCAATAGCATAACTTGAAAATATTTAAAAATCCTCAAACATAATTAATTTTGGAATATTTTTAAATTTTCAGATTTCATTACTAGGAAGTTTATTCTGTTGTTCTTTAGGACGAAAAAAAATCCTCTTCCAATGGAGACATTTTAAAATATTTTGGGTTTTACTTCTGACATTTGTCTATAATATGTAATGAATTAAACATGTAGCTCAGTCTATATAGTCAAGTGATATATGGAGACAAATGACATTAATCAAATTATATTGACAACTGACTTTTCATAATAGTTAACACTTGTAGATTTATTTTTCTTGCCAAGTACTAGTCACTGTTCCACATCTCTTTCATGTAACAATTACTTTTGTCAGTAAAGCTTTAACTTATGTTTTGTGGTCATGCCCATTTTATACATATAGAAACTAAGATTCTCAGATGTAAAGAAGTATCAAAAAATCAGTCTAATTACTGGCAAGGAAATTTAATATATCTAGCCCAACTCGAAGGCTGCATTCTTAACAATATGCAGCACAGAAACTCCTGAAATTATCAAGTACAATTTTGTGTCATTTGCTGTCAAGCCAAAAGCTAGTGTTTAGATCATCAGTTGTAGTGAAATTTCTATTTAATAGAACTATATTTTTTAGTACACACATATACACATATAGCCTGTGCATACTTTTTCTTATTGTTAAAATGTATTTGAAATCAAGAAAGATAAGAATATATTGTTTTATTAAGTGTATCTACACATGGGTTCTTATTTAACACCAACTAAGAATGTAATACTGAAGCTCCTCACACCATTCATGTCCTGAATATCTCTAATCTTACTTGTGGTTCTGTGGAGACAAGGGCATGGAGTACTGCATACATGGCATATGTTAAGGGCATCTGAGTGGCATGCCACTCCTCTTGTGCTAGGCATGTGAGCAGCAGGCTGCTTACCCTGGAGGGACAGCCCTGGGCTTGAGGGCCTGTGTTTCAGTCCCTCTGCTTGGCAACAGCCTGCTCTTCAATTGGTTGCTGCAAGGACAGTCAGTGAGCAGAAATTGCATTGGTGGCGGCCTGTCTGCTGAGCTACTACCTGAGTGTATATACATGGTAATTGCACAATAAAATCAGACCTGCTTCCTGCTTGGTCTCCAGAGGTCTTGATTAGTGACTCCACAGCCACACTCTCCTCTACTCTGTTCCATGGACCTCCTCATGGACAAGAGAGAGAGCTCATGCATGGGTCTAAGAGAGGAAAAATATTTCAGTGTATGATTCTAAGTTTTTTATCTAAAATTGATCAATTAAGCAAAATGAAACATTTACATATGACCATATAAAATATAAAACCTCTTGGTAACTTATTATTTAAATTTCATTATTGTTACTAGATATAACACAACATTTGAGAGAAATAACAGGAATTCATCTGGAAGGTCACTGGAAAATGTAGAAAATCACAGGATATTTAGAGGATATCTAAAGCTGAAATGATATTGCTTTATTTTCAGAAAACAAAAAGGAACTGAATATATCACATTCAAAAAGTTAAGGAAGGAAAAAAGTATATTTGTGCATATAAATATATGTGCATATTAAATAAAATATATGCAGACACGTATTGTCTAAACCAAAATCTCCATATATTCTATCACCTGAAAATTGCTTTTCTCCAAAAAGTATCCAGCATTTATAACCTTGACTTTCTTACAAACTGAAAAATTGCAGAACTTTCTTCATATATATTCAACAACTGTCCAGAGTTCAATAGATTCATATGACCCAAGAAAGAAGTGAGGCTAATAAAACTGGAAACTCATGGAGTTTTAAAAGGTGATGACCATGGAAATAGAACTGCACTGTTTCAAAATGACAGGGTAGTGTAAATCTGTGCTAGTAGCTTCTGGATGTAGACCTGTCACAGATAAAACTGTGGATCTGGAAAGACTACATGGTAGGAGTTTTGTAAAAATAAATAAATAAATAAATAAATAAGGTGTATGAAAAAGAATTCCTATTCCTAGTCAACTAAAGTTAAGATGCTATTTTTTTTTGTTCTTTTTAAATCATTAAAAGAAAGATGATCACTTCATTTTATAATAACTTCTTTTGGTGTTTAATTAAATTTGACATTCAATTATTGGTTTGTATCTAAGTTAATTTTATGTTATATGTATTTCAGGTAGCGAGATATATCTCTATGTATTCATTCATACATTCATTTTAAAATAAGTTAGGTTTTAATACTTGATTTTCTTTTTCACATTCTATTTCACATCTCTGTAGTCATCAGCTGGCTTATACAAAAAATAAAATTATTTTATTATTCATAGATTAATTTTCAAAATAGTCAAATAGCAAATTTTATTAAAATCTGTCATTGCATAGCTACTTTTATACCTAAGAAAGAAAAATGAAAGAAAGAAACTTCAGCACATTATGTTGAAGGGCAAAACTAGAATGTGAAATTAGTTTTATGTTATAAAAAGTAATGTTTTATAATACACCATTTAGGTTATTTTAATTTTAATAAGATATTCAAAAGGCACAAATACTATGTGTTTGATTTTGATTTATGTGAAATAATGTATATTAGTTTTCTGTTTCCACCATAGCAAATTACAGTAAGCTTAATGAGTGTAAATGTATTTTCTTATAGTACTGGAGTTAGACATTCAAACAAGATTTCACTGATAGGAAACTACTGACTCTATTGAAATCTTAGAGTAAATCCATTTCCTGGCCTTTTCCAATTTCTAGAGTTGTATTCCTTGAATTCTTAAAGTTTACAGTCTTTCCTACATCTTTAAGGCCAACATCTTCAAGTTTTTTTTATGCTTCTCTCGCACAGGGATCATTGGGATTACTTCTAGACCACCTAGAACACATGATCTAGGATAATCTCCCCATGTAAGGATCCTCTACCCAATCTCCTTCACCATGTTCCTTTCGCTGTATAAAATATTAAAGGGTCAGGAGACATAAAAGCATGGAATGTAAGTTGCTCTAATTCAATCCCCAGGACTTCCCATTTTCCTCCCCTCCTCCCTCCAGATTTTTTCTCTCTGTTCTACTGATGTTTTTGATAATTACTTATAGTTTTTTGTTTATTTTGTTTTTTAGTTAGTGTCTGGTGGGTATACATGATGTTGAGATTTTCTCTGATATACTCATATAGGTACACAGGAAAGTTAGGTCAAATTAATTCTACTCTTCTTCCCTTATTACTTCCCTCCTCCCTCCCCACACAGTTCCTCTCATCTAGTCCTGGATCTTTCTTTCATTTTGTTGTAATCCCACCACCACTCCCCCCTGTCTGTCTTTATCCCCTTATTTCCCTTATTTTGGACCAATGGGTCTATAATATAATTAGTTTCTAATTTACAAGGTCTAAATATCTTTAAAATAAACACTTGGAAAAGCAAATGATATTTTCATATAGACAATGAATCAATTTTTGGCATATTAAATTTCTTTTAAATTTTCATAGGACTTTTTCTTTACTAAGTATTTATATAAAACACTTAACTCCAGCACATTAACACAATTCAACACAGTAATGAAGAGCATAGGAAAGAGAACAAGCTTGATATGCATTTATTTTTATACTACGATCATCTTTATACCTAATGAGTGAAAAATAGATCACCACACAAAAAACAATTTTTAATATGCAGGCTTTATATTAATTATTAAAAAGCCATTATCAGAACTTTTCATAATTGATAATTAAGCCAAGTACAGAAATCCTATTTACTAGGATGCTGATATGACATACTATAGGTGATAACACTAAAAAGTAACTATTACAAATAAACAAAAGAGGAAATGCCACAAAATAAAACGAACCGAAATAATAGAAATGCATATCCTTCAAAATGAAGCATATACTTAATATTTTAATATTTTGAATAGCTAATGTTTATAAATAAGCGGTTTAATTCGTTTATTTGTTTCATCTATCATTGAATAGTCAGCATTCTCACATTAAAAGCTTGTGATGTATTGATGTAGTAAAGAAATTATAATACAAATGTCAATCATTTGAAAAATGTAAATTCTAAATAGTAATAATAAAGAAATGATAATATAAATACCATCTTATTTGAAAAATGTAAATTATAAATTATAGTATTAGCATAACTGGCAAAATAAAAATGCTTTGACATCTAAAACACATTCATAATGAATTTTATTTCCTTCCCAAGAAACTTTTTGTGAAATAATCATCATTAAAACGCAGTCTAATTATACAGTATAGAAACCCAAAGTTACTTATTTTATGATAATGTGTATTCATAAATAGCATATTCTATGTCTTGCAAAAGCATATACTATCTAGATATAGCAGTAAATTGTAATTTTTCTGAGGACATAAATCTCTAGCTTCCATGATGTTTTGATAAAGAAGATATTGAGTCAGGACTTGAATTACTCTGAAATGATATAAAGTGATCAAATTCACTCAGATTTTGTCACAAAAATCAATATTTATTAAAAAATTCTGGGAAGTATTTCTGCTTAATTTTACTGTTAGGATCTCAAAATGGATGAATCTCTATGGGATTCTAATAGAGAACATGTTTTCATCAGAGTAAAAAATTGCATAATAGTTTGTAAATTTTAAGAAAAAGCAAGTACAACCTATTTTAAAATTCCATTATACTAGCAATTTTAATAATTTTTTCTTAACAGCAGAGGGTATTGAAAGTTTTAGTTACAGTAAAGTAAATGCTGAACTATCTATGCAGTTTATTTCAACAAGGATATTATGTACCATTTATCTTAATTCAAATTGAAATTGATAGTGATGTCTTTGGATACATCATTTTTGTATTTACTAGCAAAATCAACAGCCTTGCACAGTACTTATTTAAAGAAAAATATAAAATTATCTTCCAATATATGGTCAAAACAAATTCTAAAAGACCCTAGGCAGACCTTCAGGGATAGAAGTGTCAGAAATACAATAAAAAAAACTACAGTTTAATGTCAAAATGAAACAAAATCATTCACTAATTGATTCAATGAATATTTATTGAGATCTATTCAATGGTTTAAGGAAATTCACCCCCTGATCACAATGAAAAAAGAGTAAAGCATATGTTGTGGGCAAGAAATTAATCAAGGTAAGGGACAATAGTTCTTCTGATTGTATTATAAAATGAGAAGTATTTTTTTTCAGTGTGGATTATATGAGTTCAGGTGTATGTTTATATATTGGACTGTACATATGGGAGTGACATGTACATATGCAGGGCTGTGGATCTGGATGTGAGTATAGCTCCATCAACAAGTGTTTGGATACACATAAAGATGTAGGTGATGTGGAATTATAATATTTGGGTGTTCAAGGACTTGACAAAATTAGTGCGAGTGTGCATGTGAGTATGTGCAGATGTATATATACTGCTAAGTGTGTGTGCATGTTAGTGTTATATTTTTCTCAGTGCTTCTCAACCAAGGGAAATTTTAGCCCTCAAAGAATATTTGTCAATATATGGATGGAGTTTTGGTTGTCATAACTGAAGGGAAGTTATGGAACTTTTTTTTTTTGATACTGCTCAAAAATCTGTAGTGTAATGCTGCACAGCAAATTAGCCTGCACAGATCAGATAGATAGTGATGTCTTTGGATACATCATTTTAGTATTTACTAGCACAATCAACTTTCTTGAATACCAATAGCTGATCAAAGAAACATTGGTGTGTGTGTGTGCATGTGTGTGTATATGTATGTGTATGTGCATGTGATTTTTACAGAGATGTTAGAAAACTTCCAAGGAGTAAGCAAATCAATACCTTTTCTGAGATTTTATGCTTCATGTCATGAACAATACCCTAGGCCATCTCATGTTCTTTTGCATCGTTTCTCTCCAGCATCCCCAAGAAGATTGTTGTCTCTCTTACCTGACAAGCCATCTACGAAAAAACATTGCTTAGCAACTCCTTATTATGAGTATGATGTATAAATTTGTTTTCAAGACCATGGGTCAATATATCCCAACAAAATTTCCTTTAGGACAGAGAACTTCTTTTTAAGCTAAATTGAAATACACTCAGCGGACATTGTTACCAAAAATTAAGTCATATATATTTAAGAATTCTGACATGTGTAAGATTGATTCTATATAGAAATAGTTGATTTACTATTATTATTGGTTTATTAATATATAGCAAATTTGACATTTTGTGCTTATAATCTCTAATATTATATGTAGTATATTATACACATCAAGAGTAAAATTGTTTCCTATTTTAAATTTCACTTTATTTTAATTGACATGTTAATTTCACAATTTATGGAGTACAGTGTGATGTTTTCATGTACATAAACATAATATAATGATCAAATCAGGATAATTAGTGCATTCATTACCTCAAACATTTATCATTTCTTTCTGATAATATTCAAAATTATTTGTTCTAGTTATCCTGAAATATATAATATATTATGGTTCATGAAAAACTGTCTGGTATTGAAAGTACTACCATTCATTTCTTATAACTCTTTGTTTCTAGGAAAATTCTCCTTTTCAATCACATCATAAGCAGTTCTCTAGGTAGATGGTTTAATGCCACCCCTTTCTTTATTATATCTATTTTCTCACTTTCTGTATTTTCAGTCTCATCCTGATAGAAGAAAGGCTGAAGATGATATCTTCAATTTATTACTGCATTTGTCTGCAGGCAGTTTTCTGATTGAAATGACACCAAATCCACTGGGAAGTAGAAACTATGGATTTGATGAGGATGCAGCCCACACATCTCTGATTAAACCTTTGACTCTGTTACTACAGCTGTCAAAATAAACTGATGTGAAGTATGAAAAAAAAGAGAGTTTCCATTTTTAACTGCCTTTGCACTCTTATAACTCTCTCAAAATATTTTCTGTTCATTATATAAAAGAAGCATATTTTCTCTGCTGTAAACCTGTACAATGCATACTATATGGAGATTGCATACATGTCAGAGGTAATGTTATTTATTATCCCAAAGACAATCTCATGTAGAAGATTCTTTCTCACAACCTCCATGTAGTTTATTTTTAATATATATATTTGCAATAGCTCTATATTCTTGAAATTTTCTGAAATGGTAATGCACAATATCACAATTGATATTTCACTATTATTATTGCACATTAATTCATGTACATGAATAACAAGATATATGTATATGTAAATACATATAAATATACATTATAAAAATAATCAAATTCCCCGTTTTTTTTTAACAATACTAGTTATGTACTTCAGAGGTTTCATAGAAAGATGAAACAAATCACTTTATTTTCCTTTTGTCTGCAGTCTTTAATGGTATCCAAGTGGAAATGTAGCTATTGTGGTTGTTTTTCATAGATGCTTTAACAAAATTACTATTGTCTATAATAAGTCAGCTGATATAAATTTGAAAAAATCAATGCACTGGGTTTGCATGCTTGACTTTTTGTCATCTTTAATTAAATGTCACAGTTTTATTCTCTTTCTTAAAAACATCTTGAAATTGCTTTAAAAAATAAAGAGAAAAAATGGACAGAAAAATCAAACTCAGCTTTTGCCTTGGAGCTCATCTTAAATGCATTATTATTTGTCTAGTTTTTTTTTTTTGTTTTGATAAGCAAAACAACCTAAATGATACCATAGTCATTTATCTCTTGAGGCTACAATCTCTACATTTCTGTTTCCTTGATGAGTAAACACATTCACTGGAAGGAATGACACATTGTTATTTTAATTCAGTTTAAATAGATTAGACAATGTAGTTATCAATTGTCAATTACATATTTATGGAGGTAAAAAAAGAGTCTTGTTCCTTCTACAAAAATTTGTGGAACTAAGGTGGTTTCCCGATAGCAAAGTTTGATATCAATATGGGATAAGGATCATCCCACTGAACAGTGATAGCATCCTGAATTATGCAAATGGGTACTAAATAATGTCAGGTAAAAATGGTTTTCAAGTAGCATTAGCAGATAAAATATTAGAGAATTTTGTGGTTACTACATTATTCACAAATGCTTTTCAAGCAACGATAGAGTGTTAATGTCATTAATGCTTTATATGAAGAAGTATGATTAAAAATTTTTAGTTTTCTTTTTCCTTATTCTTATTTTCCAGATCTTTTTAACAAGATTTTTCAGTGAAAGAATATAAAAAACTACAATTTCCCCAAATATAAAATAAAACTGAACTAGTATACATAGAAAACTGCTTACCAAGAAACTGCCTTTTAACTGCCTTTGACTCTTATAACTCTCAAAATATTTTCTGTTCATTATGTAAAAGAAGGATATTTTAAAGTGATTAAAATAAATTAAAGATTTAATTTTAAAGTGAAACTACACATATCTAAATAAGACATTTTGCTATTAATAATATATTTATATTAACATTTAAATAAAAGCATTATTAAAAGCAGCTTAATATAATTTAGACTATGGTTAAATATTTAATGGGAACAGCATAAGTTAAAGAAAGCATGAGGGTACAAAATGGTGAAGGTCAGTTTTGCATATTTGGGGGACATAGAATAAATTTAAAGTAATTAAACATTTTAATTATACATAATTGCTACTATAAAGTCATTAGTAGTTACTTTAATAAAATGTATATCCATTAATTATTATATAAAATTTTATTTTTAAAAATTGCTTAAATATCTAAATCTGCTAGTGCAAATAATGATAGTGGTTAAACTATGCATTTTTATTCACTTTGAAATGTTTCAAGATCTATATTGTCTCAACTATGTATCAGAAATAGAAGAATAACTGGACATATATATCTTAAAAGCTTGCATTTTTATAGAATAACCTTGGCCATGTCTCTTTGTTTTTAGCCTCCATTTATTAATCTATCAATTATAGAAAGGATACTGACATAGCATGATTTTTGTGATCACAAAATAAGACATTCTATTTGATAACAGTATTAGAGATTTTAATATGTTAAAGTTTCAACTAGCATTTACTAAATGCAAGCTATGTATCAGAAACTATGTTTTATACTGGACAACAAAGAGGACAACTAAAAATAATGTGTTTTATCTGACACATGCATAGTCATAAATTCAATATGCTAAGTATTAAACAAATAGCAATTGAATAAATCATTACCCAATCAAATTCCATTGGATGGAAAAAAATCACTGCAATATTATGATACCTTAAAATTTTTAGTATCAAACCTTTAAATTATCCTAAATTGTTAACATTTCTGTTCATTTTGTTTCTTCAGCCTGAAGAATGTTTTGCAGTATATTTGCTACATAAAAAAGTCTGAGTTGACAGGTTTGTTTTTTGTTGTTTATTTCCTTTCAGCACCTAAAACTGTTGTTCTACTTTATCAAGTACTCCACTGTTTTGAGGAGTCAGATATTTTTGTAAGCAATTGACAATTCTCTGGCTCATTTATAAATATTCTCTAAATTCTTTATTTGCAGATGTCTGATCATTATGTGACTAAATATGGTTTTCTTTGTATTAATCCTACTTGAGACTCTCTGAGGTTCAAGTGTCTGTGAGTTTACTTTTTCAATAGATTGTAAAACTCATAGCCATATATAAGTAATATTTTCCACTCAGTTATTTTTTTGGGTGGGTTATATGTAGCTGCCTTGTCTCTGAGTATGCAAGTGTGTAAGTGTGTTTGTCTAGGTGCATTTGATATTTCCATGGCTGCTGAGGCTCTGTTTACATTTTCCATATTTTTATTGAAGTGTCTATGTATTTACTGATTCTTTCTTTTCTAGTCATCTCCTTTTGATGGTAAGCCTAGTCAAAAAAATATTTTTATTTCAGTAATTGAAGTTTTCAGTTTCATTCATTTCCATTTTTATAGTTTCTATTTTTATGTTGATATTTTTTACCTTTGCATTTACTATGAATATTTTTTTCTGTAAAAATAGTGATAATAGCTGTTAATTTACTAATTTAAACATCTGAGTCAACATAAGTTCAGTTTTCATTGGTTGTCTTTACTCTTGAAAATGTGATGTTTTCCCATTTGGATGTTGACTAATTTTTATTTTTATTATTTTACTTTGGATATTGTGTGGTTATTGTGAGGTTATGTTTGGAATTTCTGAATTTTGTTAGTATCCATTCCTTCAATGAGTCTACCATTCTTCCTTCATTGTTTTCCTCTTGTTTTACTAGGTAATCAGATCTGTAGTACTGGAATTGCTAATATTCTCATTTATCCATAAACAGGCTTCTTAGGGTTCAAACATTTTTGGATCAGGTATCTGAAAGACTCTTTCTTTGGCTATGTCCTTTATTTTCAGTGGTCTGGTTGACTTCAGTTCTATCCTCTTGCTGTTCTTTGCAGCAATACTGTTATTTGATTTTTTTTTCTTTTTTTAGTGGTGGTGGTGGTACTGAGGATTAGAACCAAGGACCTTGCACACCCAAGGCAAGCATTCTACCAACTGAGCCCTATTTATCCCCAGCCATATTTGTTTGCTTTTAAATTGAAATCTTAACCACATGGCATGGTCAAAACTATAGCCTGCCCTCAGCTGGAAGTCATGGAAAGAGGAACATTAAACACTATTGCCTTATTCCAAACATTAACTCCCTCCATAAACCACATGTATTTTTTTCTCTAGTGTTATCAAACAATTTTTTTCATTGTGTTAATAACTTATGGTATTATCTGTAGAAAGGCTTGGCTGATAGTATGTTCTGCAGATAAAATGAAATTGGAAGGGTGTTAGCATCAAGATTACAAATATAACTTTTTTTTCTTTCCAAAGAAGATAAAATAAAATCTATAATGTTACTCTGAAAACAAAATGAATACTTTTTATCTGTTACTGAAAATATATTTGTTCTTTCTCTCAACAAAGCACAGACTGGAAAATCAGATACACTTATAATTTTTTACTAATAATTCTCCTGAAATACACACATAGTATGATAGTTATCACTACAAAATAACCCAATCTTTGAACCACATGCTTCTTTGGCCATGATAAACTATACCCCTGGAAATGTTCTTGGGTTTTATTTTTAAAATAAATTTTTGAAGTATAAAACACAATAGGAAAGGACAAACCCTGAATATAAAAATACAAAGACATGTACAGTATTCTTGACTGTGAGATTTCAATAAAATCTAGACCCATCAATATAAGTATTTCAGACGCATCCTTATGCAACCCAGGAGGGACTTCTACATTCTTATTCAGTGATAATGACTGTCCTGACTTCCAGTGACAAATCAGGTTGTTTTTTTTTTTTTTTTGTGGAGACATTTTGGAGATTTTGTTCAAATGGAATTAGAATATTTGTCTTCATGTGTGCCTGTACTTGTGCACCCGATGTCTTTGTAAAGTTACTCTGTTTTATTGCCACATTGATCTCTGTTGCAAGCATACTGTTCAACTTACTTATTGACTGTACTATTGAATATTCGTGTTGTTTCCTTTGTATGGCTTTTAACTTTATTGATGTTGTGAATAATCTTAGCTGTTATTTGGTGCATTTGTACAAAAATGCAGGATCCCAAATTGTGCTTATATTCAGTTTTATAAGATGATGATAAACATCTTTAAAAGTGGTATTGTTGTTTTCCTCCATAAACAGTGTGCAACAGTTTCAGTTGCTCCAACTGCTTACAGTATTTGCTATTATTGATCTTTCATAGTCATTTTTTCAGGAGTATAGTAGATATTTTGCTATGTTTCTATGATAGCTACTAAGTACATTTTTATGCATTGATTTGACACTTGGAGATCCTCTTTTGTGAATTACCTGTTTAGGTTGCTTATTATTTTATAATTGTAATATCATTTTATTTTATATATTTTTGAATGGATTCATATATTTTTGCCAATATATTTTCTGCTATTCTGTAGTATGCTTTCTAGTTAAGAGTGTCTATTTTTAAAAATTTCATCTTTTTTTTTTGTAGTACTGAACTTTGCAAAATTCACTGGTCTAAATTGACTACACTGTGCCTTCCTGCCTTAGCCTCTCAAGTAGATGAAAAGATAGGTGTGTACAATTGCACCTCACCAGAATTCTTAGTTTTATGGAGTTGAATTTCTGCTATAGTAAGTGCTTTCATGGTCATTTGAAACCTACTACAAATAT